GTCCTGTTGTTCTCTCGATATATCGTGTGAATCGAACCGAGAGGAAAGAGAGAAAACATTCTAACATGGCGGTTCTCTGGAGGCTCGGTGTACGGGAGGGGTTTTGAAAGAGATTCGAAGACGATGGAAGGAAGGGCAGGAAGGAAGGAAGTCGACGGAGTGTGACGCAGGGAATTCGTGCCTAGACTGTCGAACATTCAAATCCGACGAATCGACGAGGGAAGGGGGAATCTTGACAAGGAACGCCGGTTTCATAGGCCATTGCAGGGTCGAGGGGATGAAAGAAAGGAACCCCGTGATACTTTCTTTCGGGCTCACCGTGCCCTAGCTTCGAGCGTGTTATACTTTACCTACTTTACAAGATTTCCTGGCCCGATAACCATCGCCTCGACGTTTTTCCTTCTCTGCTCGTCGATAACTCGCCATTGCGTTCCGTTCATCCTCGGGAAAATCGAGATCGAACGTGCTCTATTTCTCTGCTCGCTTTTTTATTTTCTTCCTTCTTGTATACTCGATTGCGTGTTCCGCTTCTGAAGAGCTGAACAGTTTCCTGGATTTAATGAATCCTCGAACCTTCGCAGTCAAAAGGTTAAATATAGTACATTCGAGTCAGCAGTTATCTTAGCACCGAAAGGGTTAAACTACTTGCAAAGGACGATGAGATTTTACGTCATAGACGAAACTCGTATATCTACCCTGACCATGATTAAATTTTCATTTAAATTTCATTTAAATCCCCGCGTTCGCTGTTTCGGATAAAGAACGTAATCTCTCCTTAATACTGAACGTTACAGGAAACTCTGGATATTAATATCTAACTAGAAAATGGATTACACAACCTTTTGGGTGGTCTATTTGAAATGTTCGTCAAGCGCCATAAAATCCATGTTATCTCGTAAATAACCGAGCCACGAAGTTATTCTCTCTATATTAATCCTCGTTTAATGTTTCAAACACCCCCATCGCGTTGCATTTCATCAAACAATCTCTAATAAACAATTCTAGTCCAAGGGAAACAGGAATTTCATGCTCTATTTCGACGAAATTTTTGCTGAAAGTCATTTCTTCGACTGCGAATCGACGAGTTTTCCGCAGGCCGTCCTGCGTAACGTGAAAAAGAAAAGCGGAAAAAAGTGGAAGAGGGTGTTTTTGGTTCAGGAGGGATTTCTCGTGGATTAGCCGGACCCTCTCGCGGCGTTGAGGGTACGTTTTTCCGCCACGTCGTTTCAACATGCTAGATATACATGTAAGGTGTTTCAAGGTACACGAGAACTGCTTCTTCTTATTCCACGTTCGTGCCGCTTCGTCGTGGATAATCCCGGAGGTGTTTTACAGGTGTTACATTATTTTCTGTCGTCTCGCGAGATGACCTCTCACGGCACCCTACGACGACGACTCTTCATTCCTTAAATCCTTTCGCTTTACTTTCGCCGTTTTCTCGTTCCTCGAAATTGCTAGACACGTTTTTACCCGCCCCTTCGAGTACCGTACGATTTTTGCTTCATCCGACGACACCTAAAACATCCTAATTGATTCTTTGAGTTTAATTAACGAGGGCAGAAAAATATCGTAGAAAACTGAATCTCGTTTACGACTGTGGGATATAAAGACGTTTTCGAAAGTATTTTTATAAGTAAAGGACTCAGGAAGGAATCGTTTTCATACGAATTCGAACTGTATTATGTAAAATAAGTGGTTTTCATGAAACCGTAGAATGTTCTTCGGGAAAACCAAAGTACCGTTTCTACCATCAGGAAGGTAGTGTTATTGAATATATTTTAGCTTATCGAATTATAAAATACCTTCTCTGGCTGCATTTCTTTATCTTTCCAGAAACAATAGAAGGTTCTCTGTTTGAAAGAAATATAAAAGCTTAACAAATCATAGAATACGTTCTTCGGCGGTATCTTTTTATTTTCACCGTAAGGTAGTATATTTCTGTTTGGAGGAAATATAAAAGCGCGCGATCGATCGGAAATTCGTGCTCTTATCTTTATCAGGGAATGGAAGGGGTAAACGCGAAAAGCAAGGAAAGCTGAAAGTTCGTCGTACCCGTCAAATTTCATCCATCGTCATGCTACGAGCCGTACGAAGACAAATTTTGACGCGCGGGAAACGACAACAAACGCCAAAACGTCACGGGCCTTGAAAGATTTTGATAGATTACGCGGATATTATCCAGAGATGCGTGGAAGTTTGTCGTACGATCGTTACGGGGCTTCTGACGGAGACGGTCATGAAGTATAACAGTGTCTCCGAACTTTCTTCAGCTTACGACCCTGTTTTTCTAATAGCCAAATAATCCGTGCTTCTCTTTACTCGAACTCTTTGTTTGTTTTCTCCAAAGAGGTTGATTGAACTTCCGGCTATTTCATTGAATGTCCAGGAAACGATGTTGGCGGTAGATTTGAAGAATGTTTGAACCGTTATCGATCGGTCGTGTGCTCGACGAGATGTGAAACGGGAGGACGAAGAAAGCCTCGTAAAGAACTGTCCGTTTCTAGAACAGGTCCTTTATCCTTATGGAAGGATCGCGGTAGCCTGGAATGAACCTCGTTCAGATAAATTCTTCCGCTCTTTCCTCTTTTATTCTTTTCGTAGCGCGACATCCGCCGGACAGGGTACTTTAACGAGAATGAATAAGTCATAACGATTTGAATCCATCGGGAGAGAAGTTCGCTCACGAGACGCGTGGCTTCGTGAATTATAATCGCATCCTGAGTTTGCTCGTCTTCTTTCGTTTCGTTGATTTTCAATTCTTTCTGATGCAAAACAGTATTTTCGTTTGCTTCGAATAATCGCGCTTTCTTCTTCGCGAACCGATGGCGACGAATACAAAGTATTCTTGTATTTGGGATCGCAAACGACCCACGCGTCGCAACTTTCATTGTTCAAAAATGGAGAGGACGAAGTTTCAGAAAGCACCCAAGATGCATCGACTTCCCGTCATAATTAGCTAATAAATCCAGCTCGAAAAAAGGAGGCGAAGATCTGAAAGGCGTTGCTGTTTGCAATTTTTCGTTGACCCAGCTCGGTTAGTGTGTCATTGCGGATCGCAATCTCGGAAATGGCACGCGTTCCCGTCGTCTGTGAGCCCTTTGTGCGACATTCATTCGTGCGACGTCCATAAAAAAATACGTGATCCCAGCTTTGAGAAGCTTTCGCGACGACGTTGCACGTTAATCGACGTGAAAGGGTCAAGTTGCAGGCGTGAATCTCAGTTTATTGCTAGCTGAACCTGATCAAATTAAGTGTTCATTTACCTGAACAAATGAATCTTCAATGATTCTCACTGTTGCGGTTTTACGACGAGGGTAGAGAGTAGCTTTGGAAGCAGGCAGGTTTTTCTCTCGACTGTACCGTAGCAAACCGTGGTCAGAGGGTGGTCTTTATGGAGGATCATGATTTTTAGTAGGGTGAAAATTGTACGCTTCGTTTCTGCTGGGTCAAATACGCGCTATAAAATGTATCGCCGGAGAAAAAGGAGTTCCTCGAGGAAAACGGTCGGAGGACATTGCCCTCGCGCCTCTTTTTTAAGAAAATGAATGTTCGTTAATCGGTAGCAGCAAAGTCCCTAAAATGTTTCTGGCAGAGTCGGAAGGATATCGCGTTAGCCTCGATCTACTATCGCAAAACTCGGTCGCCTGAAGCGGTCTGATTGAATTATACGCACTGCTTTCGAGAAGCAACGACACGTAGGCTGCCAACACCCTCGCGATTAAGGGGTAGCATGGAGAGGCTGACGTTAGCCCTAGGATACGAGTTAATAGCATTGGCAAAGTTGACGCAACGAAACGCCGCCCCCTCCGTGGAACTATGTTAAATGCGTTCCACACCTTCGTGCCCGGAAGAATTAAGTCAGTAATTCATGAAGGGTCGTCCAACAAGCACTCTCGGCCTCGTTATCTACGACGTTAAGTAAACTGCATCGTACAGGCCGCCTACGCTCGACAGCTTTCGCGATAACACCTTCGAGCAACGATACGATGCAACTCTCGAGTTATGCGCTTCGTGCTTCTGTTTTTCTATCCCGGCTCGCTTGTTATTCTTCATCCTGTTTGATTCAAAACAGAACCGACTGACTGCTCATGCAGGTTGAAATTAATTTTGGACAACAAAGTGAAAAAGAAACAATCGAAGAATTATTTTTCGGAAGAGATTTCTCAGTTTAATTAGCATCGTTATGAATAATGAAAGCGTTTCGCGTTCCCCTCGTGTTTAATTCGATGCGCGTTCGTGCAAGAAAGCCAGGACGTTCTGTTTTTTTTAAAAGGTAGCTTAACGTGCATCGAAGTTTCTTAACGAGGATAACTACGCGGTAAACTATGGAGACGTGGCTGAGTACATCGCGAAACTTTGCGAGGAAACCGACCTCGCTTCTAGTCATTCTTCACTGAAATTCTCGTTAAAAAGTTTGCCACCCTCGCCGGCTGATATTCCAATTTCACCCCGCGCATCCTACCGATCGCTTTCTTCTTTCTTTCTTCGGATCATTCGGATAACAATATGATTTATGAGGCGGTGAAGTGTGTATTAGCGCCTGGATATTTTCATTGTTCTTTCATTTTTCATATTTCACTGTTTATGGAACAAAAATCTTTGATCACTTTTTGATACAGTTTATTTCTATCTGAACCACTTCATTACAATGTTTTGAGAAAGGCAAGCTGAAATTGCTGATGGGTCATAGAAGCATATGGGATAACGTTTACAATATAATCAGCTAGAACATACACGAGGCATCAGGTTTATTTACAAACAGTTATATGGATCTAGTTATCCCGGTCTGGGTTGTCAAAAGGATTGTGGCATTGCAAACATGATTATAACTCCGAAATGGCGTGATATTTGATACGTGTTTGCGCGGCCCTATTCTATCGTTCTCAAATTCCGAGCAATATTTTGAAAAACATCTAAGAAATTTCCAAAGCCATTCATTGTCGTAGTAACATCGAAACATTCCCGAACAGATTATCCTAATCGTATCCTGTTTTTTGCAGGTATTGTGCGACGTCGCAGTAGAAACAGACAGCCGAACTAATCCGATGACGAACGAGGGTTCGTCTCGGACTCAAACCAGTTTGCTGTTCCAGTCGAGATCGATCCCCTCTGCCGTATCGACGCGTTCGCGGACTTCCGCCCATGTCCCGTGCGGTGTGGGCAGCGTTCACGTGAAGCATGCGCATCTCTTTGCGAGCGGTGTCGCTTGACGCCAGTCTGTCCGAGGACGAGGTGACGGTAACATCGGCTGCTCTGGTTCATAGGGTTCCGTGCTCGCGTCTGCTCCCCTTCCTCCTCTCTTTTCATCGTCGGGATCCTCGGGATCTACGTGGATCCGGATCGCGTGATGCGGCTACCACGTGACGTAGATCGCCGCGGGAACCGGGAGTGTAGTGCGTGACGGCGTGGCGGGTGTCCTCCGAGTCCTCTGTGTATCCGCGTGTGTCCTCGAATCGGTTCCAAGCGGGTACGGGAATATCTCGCGCGTCCAGGTGACTGCTGGTCCAGTGACCAGGAACGCGTTGGTACCGGATTGACCCTTAAGGATTTTTAAACTGGCAAAGATTGATCGAGTGCAGATTTCGCGTCGTAGTGTGACAGTGATTCGGTGTCGATCTGTCTGCGAGTGATCAATCGGTGGGGGGGGGGTTCGCGTCCAACTTTTCGTCCGGTTCGTTCGGGAATGTACAAGTTCGGGATAGCCCGTGTTCGTGGACGCTCGTAAGGGTGAATTGAGCCTGTACACGAAAACAGGCAAAGAATGTCTTCGAGAAAGCGGAAAGAAAGAATTTGAAAAACTTTGGTCCGTCCAAAGAGAGCTAGCGGAGAGAAGCAATAAAGCGGTTCCGCGGTGGACGCAGTTACGCGACATCCGGCTGCTTTTCCTCCTGGAAAAACTCGTGAGGATGAAACGAACCGGTAAACGTCGGAACGGTAGCTTTCTCTTGGGCATCATTAGGGCTGGCGCTTTTTACTTATACCGTCACATCAAGCATGCCATTAGAAATGAGATCGTCTTTTTGTAATTCGAACACATCGACGGATTTACGTGAATTCGCGGTGAACGAGAACGATCGCGAGGATGTACATCGAAGTCTGATCTTGATCGGCACAATCTACCTCTGGAACATTTTACATTTTAGTGGGCAGTGTCGGAAAATTCGGGAATCGTATCGAAAATAGAACTGAAGGATTTCGCGTCGAATCTATACCGCGCGTACTTGGACTGTTTACCTTTGAAAACGCTGAGTCTGGAATGTCTACGAGCGCGTGTTGACTAGTTCTCGAGGGCCGTCAGCAGTTTTGCTTCGAGCTAAACAAACAGTGCGAGAGGGGAAAAGGGCAAACCCGAACCAGAGTCAGTTCGGACATCGAAGCATGAGCTGAAGCTACCGAATTGATCGGAATCCCCTGGGTTGTTCTTAGTCAGCGACCTCGAAATCGTGCCGTGACGTGGATCGTGTCGCGTACTGATGCATCCTGAACGCTCGAGCGGTCCTCGTGGTAACGGGGTGGGCAGGATCGCGTGCGTTGCAGCCCCGGCAGGCGGCTAGACCCAAGGGATGAAAGCGTTGCGGAGGATCGAGTGAACACGAGGTGGAGGCGCGGAGACGGGGTTAAAAGGGCGCGAACTAAGATGACGTCGTCGATCCTGGCGCTGCTCGGTCTTATCCTGGCAAGCGCCAGCGCCGAGCTTACCTCGAGGATCGTCAGGACAAAGTATGGGGAACTTTCGGGCGTTATCGTGACCCTCGACCGTCATCTCGAAGGGGTCGAAGTGTTCCGTGGCGTTCCGTACGCGTCGCCGCCGATCGGTTCGTTGCGTTTTATGCCACCGGTTAGCGGTGCGTTGTGGCACGGTGTGAAGGTAGCGAACAAGTTTGGCCCTGTTTGTCCGCAAAAGCTTCCGGAACTCACCGACAAGATGCCGAAAGGAAGAGTCGAGTATCTCAGGAGGCTACTACCCTATCTGAGGAACCAGAGCGAGGACTGCCTGTACCTGAACATCTACGCACCGGTTCAAGGTAGGAAATTTATTCATTTATTTCAATGTAGTTAGTGTAATATCGTAGCATGTTAGATAGTTACACGTGGATAGGAGAAACTCCACGTGAACGCATATTTAGAATTAAGAATGCAAACATGAAGCTTGTAGATACTGTTCGACAGACAACAAATGTTTCGATGCTTTGAAACCAGTAGTCGGGATCTTTGATCAAAGCAAGGGAAATATTTCACAAACCGCGTTTGTTTATTTACATCCGAGTATTCTTTGAAAATATTTGCCGTCTTTGTGCTTTGTCCTGCGAAACTCGGTTCGATCGAGCAACCGTCTTTACTGATCTACGATAGAAAACCTAGAGAATTCTCGTCATCCTTCTGAGTTTCTACGTAGTACCTCTTCGGAGCCAGGAATTTCTTTATACCTCGCAGCTGTATTTGCCTTTATTTCGTAGAAACGCGCGCGGAATTTCGCGTACAGTTCGCCGGACGCGCATAGTGGATACATAGCACGGGTTCAGCAAACGAATGGTCCAAGTGGTTGTTTTTCGCGAAAAACCTCTGAAAGCATGCTAGTGAAACGAATGCAGGTTAAATATATATGTACCTAAATTGATAGGATTTAACTTTAGATGTCAATTTCATTTGCTTTGTTATTTTTTTACCAACACAAGTTTTATGATAAAGAATATTAAGAGAATCTGACTCGAAAATGAAATGCAATCGTCTTTCTGTGTTCGCCAAAATAGTCGTAAAGATCGCAGACGAGCCAGTGTTCCTCGTTCGTTCAGCTTTGCGCGCTTTTCCATTCTCCTACTTTTCGCGTTTTCATTTTCAACAGCGCGGCTCTTTGTGCTCGATGGCTGCGCCCGAGTCTTTTCGAACGACAGAAATGCATGCCAATTCTTCAACAGCTTTTCATCGATGCCCCGTCGCTGTCAAAGGACTCCCCGTTGCATTTCCGTAAGCCTAGACGGTGACACGGATTAATTTCCATGCGGAAAAAGACCAAGAGAAACAGCGAGAATTTGGAATGCTTTCTTTGCCTCCGTTACGTAGGGACTAGCGTTTGCCAAATGAACATATCGCATTCGCATTCGATACGGGTAACCAGATATTATTGCCATCCGTTCTTTTTCCTATCGGATCAGCGATTCTCAGTTTACTCGTTGTTATTTCGCGAAAATGTGAAACATCTGCTTGGGAAAGAAAGTTGAGAAACGCTGCTGCGGCTTAAACTGAGTTATCCGGCAGAAAAATTAAAATGAAAATCGAAAGGCGAAAGGAATAGGTCCGCGAATGTTGGTATTCCTGATTTCAGATTATATTGCGAGGGATGAAAAGAAAATTTGTAATAATAGCAAATCTATACAATGTATACAAATTATTATACTATTCCTGATTGCTGTGGGAATCACAACGGTGACCATTACCTCTAATTTAATGGAACCGAATAATTAATTCCTATTTTGTAATATTGAAACTTGATCGTGATGCAATTTACCGTGCAACTATTATAAACCTAGGTCGTATTTGTAGTAGTATAAAAATCGTTTGTTTCTAATTGAAATTACAATGTCTTTAAAAATGGTGGAATCAGAGCAACAAACGTTCCATGGATTCTCTGGCAACTCGTTCGCCTCTTGGTCATACTATTTCAGAATAATAACCTAGCGGTGAACCATTGTCGAGCAACGCAAACAAAGAATCCATGAAAACGACCATTAATTTGCCGATTTGAATGGGAAGTGTTATTTTATAGCCTGGTGTTCGCTTCTCATAAATCGCTTCGCGCCCGTGGAATTCACCTGGTCACCTTGCCTCCTCTCGCCAATCCGATTCATCCCTTCGTTCTTTTCGCGCACCTATACTCGCGTTTTCCTTTTTTATTCCGGATAGAAATGTTTCGTAAGCCATTTTCGGTTGAGTAATAGGCGGTTCTTTTTGAAAAATATATCGTCAGAAAAATCCATGGAGGTTCAAGTTGATCTAATTAAAAACAATTTGTCCGATTCTTTGTTATCCGTAGCGGATGATCCAACGATTCTGGTGAAAATTTAATTTCCTTTCAATTTATCGATCAACGAGTCTCAATAGAGTGAGTTTTTCGTGATGCGGGCTTTGAGTTGACCTCGAAAAAGTAAAGCGAACGGTTTCTTTCACCGGGAAATCCACGGTTGGGAGGAAGCTCTTGGTCGAGGAGGTAGAGTCGTTGGTCGTTTTTCAGTGTGCAGTCGGTAAGCGATAAGCGAAGCCGAGAGAAACGCGGCGTAAGATAGAAACCGACTGGTGGATCCTTTAAAACAAATGCCCGGAACGTGTTAGCCCGCACCCTTAGCTACGGATGCATTTTCGGTCGGTTGAAGCGATCTGCAAACATGTATCGCGGCTAGGATTACGTATAAGTATCGTGAACGGTACAAATAAGTGGGTAGAACGAAATTGAACTAGACGGCTTTGGTAAGGTGCAACCACAACGGGACGAGGCAGGCATCCAACAGAGTTTGCGCACGTGAACGTGATCCTAGACCGAATCTCTAGCCGAGATTATCGGTCTGCCACCTTTCTCTTAATGCGAATACACCGTCACGTTTGTTTTTCGAGCAATTAATCATGTTATAAAAGCTGTAGAATATCGCAGTTAATTTGGGAAATTGAACTCGTCTCGGACTATAATAGCAATTTTTTTACCATCTCGTACAAACACGTCTGTCCTTTCGTGAATAAAATGAGAAGGAAATGAAAATAAGGAAATGACCAAACCAAGTCGAGGTCGCGAGCGTTCCAGTCGTCGTCAAAGGGACAGAGCGTGATTAATATACAAGCAGAGTTAACTAGAAGGGTGGAAGGAGCGTAAAGAGGAAAGTACGACAGTGAATCGCGACGTTTTTCTTCGAAAAGCCGCTTTAGTATGAGCCCCTTTAATCCATCTCGCTCGAGATAACGTACAGGAACATCGTGCAGTGTATTCTCGTAATTTCTTGATCGAGTAAAAAGAAATTGTATTTAAATGGAGCATGGAAATTTTAGGCGGATTAGTGTACCTAGTGTTGTTACATTACGTGTACCGTGGAACCTTGTTATGTTAATTCTAGGGAACGTTTCGTATCGTGGCGAACCAGTTGAAAACGACTTTTCAATTCCTGTGGAGCTATTCGAACGATCCTTTCGATGTACATTGGGGTTGCGAGCATACGCTACTTTAGCGTATTGGAACTTTAAAGAACGAACTAGGTATTCGACTTTCCCGAGGGATAGTGAGATTAGCATTCGTTGAAAGGGAATGCTTGAAAAATTGGGTTGTTTCACCCTTAGGATATTAGCTCTCTCGTTTTCCAATCAAAGTAAACACCATCTGATGTATTTCAATATATGCAGAAATTTTAGGGCTTGATTTACAGTGATCGAGGTAGTTGACGTCTGATGGGTGTCGAGATTAAGGCTCGGCAACCTCGTAAACGATGTTACACACCGCGTCTAATTATGAAATTTAATTAAACCCCCTTGTACGTGTGGCAGCTTCGACGGTGCGCGAAACAACGCTACCGTTTAGCAGCGTACTAATTCAGCGTTCATTTATCTGGTGCCGCGTGAGAAAACGGTAACATCGTCGAGATTTTTGACACATTGCCCGACGGCTGCAAGGGAAACGAATCCACTTGACCCCCAGGTCGGGTAAATGCCGACGATGCAGGAAAAATTGGAGCAAGTGGGTGTATGCGTTTGATTCCGAGGAGAAATTCGCGAATTTAATCACAGTTTTAGTAACGATTTAAAATATCTCTTTACCATTGCTTTTACGGGGAAACAAACGTGTGTTTGTGCTCGCGATAGTGTCTCGGGGATCCCGATCGGATGGAATTCGTGGAATAACATGGAGACGACGGTGGTAAGGAAAACACGTGGCAAGAGGAGAACCCCAGTAGTACTTTTCAATTTCGACGAAGAGAGAACTCGTTTCGATGGAATAACGTTGCTTCTTTTGATGCTGCCGGCAAAGTGTTGGGGTTACGCAGGAATTCTGTTGCATGCCGGTGTATATCGGATCATCCGGATAATAGATTTGCCAAGAGTAAACTCGACAGAATTTTTACATCCCCCTCTCTCTCTTGGTCGTGGAAAATTTAAAGAAAGCAAACGCGTATTATTCTTCTCGCTTGTTGATCGAAAAAATTAAAAAGTTCTCGGTCCATTTCCATAATACCATTTATTAATTAATTATCCATATTGTAATTTCTGGTCTAATAACAAATTTAATACCTTACGTGTTTACGTCAGAGCCTTGTTCACTTGTAAGTCAATTAGCTGTTCGCCTACAATCGATAATGGGTTAATTACTAATCGTAATAATAGGTGGAGGGAATTGCGAAACGGCTTAACATGAATTCGGCATCAATACGATAAGCTCATTTGCAAAATTTCCACCTACGTCGTTCTCTAAGATAATCCAAAGCAAAATTAATAGATTTCATTTAAACCTGAAATTCATTTTACTTAATTTTCGGGGAAAGAAATAAACGTTTGAAAGAAGTAATGGGTGGCGGGCACCGAAAAACGATTAATACGATTAAGCGAGAATTACGTTGGTGGAACGCCTGGGACTCGTAAGTAGAATAGGTGCGGCACTAGTCAGACAGAGGCGGTGAACGCGCGAAACGATAAGCGGAGAAAAATTCACGGCACGGAGGAATGAAAACATTTTAACGTTTTGCTTTATCGTTGAAACAATTTCTCATATTTTCCTTGCCGCGTGTAAAGAACGCGAAGAAAATGCTGGAATGAAAAGCGTGGAAAATAAGGGGATGCACTGTAAATTCTATTTTCATACTGCTTCGTTTTCTTGGTTAACAAATAAATAAAACTATCTCGATTCGAATAAGAATTATGCAAACACACGCACACAGACTGTTATTCCTTGTTGTTGAACGAAAGAAACTTGAAGAAATATTTTCGCCAGTAATGAAAACGTAGGAATAGAACGTTTCTCAATCCAGCAATCGATAATCAATTTCCTGGATACATT